TATATATATATATATAATTAAAGAAAAACGATGAAAGGAAAGTGATCTCAAATGCTGAGAAATAACTTTTGTAAACTAGGTATTAAAATAAATTAAATTTAAAAATTAAACTTCATAAATATATTTGAAAGGTATAGCAAATTAAAAATTAATATTAAATATATTAAATTATATTTTTATTTTTTTGTCTTATTTATTAAATTTATTTTAGTCTTTTATCTTTGAAAATGTTTATTTTGGTCTTTTATTTCTTAAATTTGGATTTGACCTTTTTGAAAAAAATGATACTTTTTTAATTTTGAAACATGATTTTAACTCATTTTTTGATTTTTTTTTGGTAAAGATAGGAAAGATTACAAAGATGTTCGTAATGAGGATTAAACCTAGGTCCTCATACTTCTAACTACCCCAACCCCTCCCCACTCAACCACTAGGCTAACCCTAGTGGTCACTCATTTTTTGATTAATCCAAGACTTGAAATTTGTTTCATTATATTCACTTATACGAAAATTGTGTTTTCATTATATTCACTTATACAAAAAATTTTAAACACAATTGAAGTTAAAAAAATAAGTATTACAAATATTGTCAAAATTACATAAAAATAAGCTCAAAAAGAAATTCAAAAATTAAAAAAAAATTATAGTTTCATACTATTTTCTAATTGCTTATGAAACATATATTTTTACAAGATTTTTACTATGTTTATACCCTTTTGGTTCATTATCAATTGAATTTCATAGTTTTTATATAATTGAATTTAATGTTAAAAGTTTATGTCAAGAATCAATCAAAAATTGATTCAAAAATTTGTCGCAAAATTAAAAATTATTATTATTTTAAAATGATCAAATTAATCTATAGATAAAAGATAAAAAAACAAATAAAAATTTTAATGGATAAAAGACTAAAATGAATCTAAAAAATAAAATAAAGAATTAAAAATATAATTTAATTAATTAAATACTTAATATATGGGATTAGAAAAATAATTTTGTTTATATATAAATTAAATTTGATTATTTTTAAATAAAAATAATATTTTTAGAAATTATTTTTAAATGAAAGTGTTTTTAGTTATTTTTTTAAAGAGAGCATTATTGTTATTCTTTTCTTAATATCATTTAATCTATGATTATCCTAATTATTAATAATTAAAAATAACCTTATATCATAATATAAATTATTTTTAAAATTTTAAATATAATTTATATATTAAAAATATTTAATTGATATCAATTTTAATTATAACATATCTTATATATTTAAAATATTTATTTATTATAAATTTTAGTTACATAGGATGAAAGATATATGTCAACAATAATAATTCTTATAAATACTTTTTTTAGAATTTATACGAAGTTAGCGAAAACAAATAGAATGGGAGTTGAATATGTGTGTATGTGAATACAGGAATTTTAAAATCTTTTTGCAATAAGGCTCTCGTTTGTCCAGTAAAAATATTACTAATGAATGATTGAATAGAAACAACCCAGGGTTGGTTTACTAAAATTATTTTACGTCTGGGAGTGTCATCGTCTGTTGAGAGAAAAATACTACATGGACAAAAATTTTTCTTTTAGGATAATCAGCTGAGAAAATATAGTTTTCGTCTGAAGATAGTTTAAATAGACGATAAGCATTATACGAAGTTTTTAGTATATTAAATTACTCAAATAAATGTGCACCTGAAAATAAAAATAGTGCAAGTATTTTTATACTGGTTCACTTAAATTGAGCTACGTCTAGTCTCCTTCAATCGAAGGGTTCCACTAAATAATCAATTAAGTACAAGTACTGTTTGTTCAGCCTCTTCAAGCTCATAGTGAGTATTATAGACCACCCAGGTCACGACCACTCCTGGTCCCAAGTATTTTCAACCAATTCTGGCTCATCTTCTTCACTCATAGACGCTAGTATTCTTAAACCACTTCTGGTTGCCTGAGTATTCTCAACTACTCCTGGTTCTTCTGCTTCACTTGTTGACGCTAGTATTCTTTGTTTAGCCACTTCTGGCTCTCAATGAGTATTATCGACCAACTCCTGGCTCGTCAGTTTCACTCACTAGCGCTAGTATTCTTTGATCATCCACTTCTGGCACTCAGTGAGTATTCTCGACCAACTCCTGGCCTGCCAATTTCACTCACTAATGCTAGTATTCTTTGATCAGCCACTTCTGGCTCTTAGTGAGTATTCTCGGCCAACTCCTGACCCGTTGACTTCACTCATCAACGCTAGTATTCTTTACTCAACCACTTCTGGCTCGTAGTGAGTATTCTTTGACAAGCCTCTCCAAGCTTTACAAGTATTTTTTTCCTAGCCTCTTCAGGTTTTATAATATTAACTAGGCAGATTTGGTTTGAGTGTGTGGGTTACTCTCATAGAGAGGATACATAGGTTTCTACACTCACTAAGGTACATAACCTTAGTCTTTATAACGATTGAGTGTTTGGTTTACTCTCATGTAGAGGATACATAAGTTGGTACACTCACTAAGGTTTGTTCCTAAGATGTACATGTTTGGAATCCCTTAGTTTACAAAGATGAATACATTATGGTACATTTGATTCTATATGCTCTATCTCTAGTTTTGTTATTTCGTGGACTTGATATCACTTTGTTAAGAATGCATGGCAAAAGGCCAGCCAAAAAGCCAACCTTCCAAGGTTGGAGATAGTGATATATATTGTCTTGTAGAATCTGCCCGTTGCAAGTGTCCGTTGAAGCAAATATAGTCGTTCATGACTAGTTCAATCTTCTCATTTAATGCTTGAGTTCTTGCATTAAATTTTGCTTCTTGTGATAGACCTTGCGTGAAGTATTCTTTGCCTTGGTAACAACACTGTCTAAATTTAGCAGAGACCTAGGAACTTTTTTGTCCTTTTCTGGTCACACAGCTGTGGAGTGTTGTCCTTATCTGAAAAAGAAATGGATTTTTTCTAACACATGCATGCTCTTGCTTTTGTGTGCTTTTCTTCTTCTTCTTCTTTTTGATCACGTGTTTATGTTGAGAGCTTTTATATGATCGTAGACGATGCCTGAGTTAGCCTTGGAGACATGATTCTTTAAATGTTTTCATGGTTGTCTTCATCGGCATTTGTTAGTCTTATGTGTCTATTTGTCTGAGCATTTGACGTCAGTGTTTTGACTCTCTTTGGTCTGGTCAATATTACAAATGGACAGACTTTATTTCTGTCTGAAATATCTTTCAGTTTGTGTTGTCCTTCGTCTTATGCGTAGTTTCCTTTCTTTTGATCTTTGACTCATGCTTCGTCTAATTTCTTGTGTTGCACCTAAGGTTGTCCTTGACAGTTCTTTCTATCAGAGTTGGTCTTGAATTTTAACCCATCTTTTCTTTTGTTCTAGATATAACCTTGATTTGGCTTTTCTTCTGATACTTCAATGTCCCGACTTGTAATAGGTCTCATCTAGTGTTTGTTGAATGTTCTTCCGTCTATTGTCGCAACCCAAATTTTTCCGATCTCGCGACCTATGATTTAGACATCCTTTTAAAAGTCTCATTAATCAAGGAATGTCCGGACACCAGACTAATCCTTAATTAATGGTCTTGAAAATAGGTTCATGGAGTCACCACCAATATTTTACTCAAAATATTGCAAAAAGAAAAGGTTTTTAAAAAATCCAATAATGGCCTTGATAACTAGAATTAGGTTCGGGAGTCGGTTATGTGTATGGAAGGTGTTAAGCACCTCTACAGCGCCCTCAATCGGTACCCTATGATGAAGTTAATGTGATAAGAAATAATAAATTAAATATTAGATCCCCTTTATGAATTATTATTTACATGCTTGAAATTTAAATTAAACAATTGACTTTGAAATATCTACATGATTGCGTTTATTATAACAATATTTATCAAAAATAAGAAGAAGAAGATTTGATTGAAATACCTCGTATCAAGCTTTGTTAAATCTTTGGATATGGAGATTCTAGGTACTTTGTGGCAACCTTTCACACTACAATGCCTCACAAAATCTCAAGAAATACAAGAGAGAGAAAAAGAGAGAAATTTCGAGCTCTAAGGAGTCTGGACGAAATTTGGAGTCTTGAGAAATCAGCCCAAGCAGTCTATTTATAGACTTCAGAAAGGGTCCAAAACGGCCTGTTCCAAAATCAGAACGGCCCGTTTTGGATATGGTCGTTACGTGTAAATTTTGTAACTGGAACGGCCCGTTCTGAAACTGGAACGACCCATTTCAGAGATAAGATTAACACGTCATTTGGTATACTGGAACGGGCGTTCCAAACAAGGATCTTTAGGCTCTTTTTATAACTTGGAACAGCCGTTCAGTTTTGGAACCGCCCGTTCCAGTTAAAGTTTTAGTCCTCTTTTGAAGAGTTTGGAACAACCTGTTCTA